CGTCTGTACGAACGTATGTACGTACGTACGTATCTCGCATAACTCAAAAACGAGTAGCCTCAGAATGTTGAAATTTTGTATATAGGACTGCTATAACATGTAGATGTGCACCTCGTATTTTGGTTGCAATCGGCCGCACCAAACGTATTTAAATATATTTATATATATATCCACTCTGTTATCCGGCTCAGTGATCTCAGTTTCTTTACTCTTATATGTTTGTAAATTGTACATTTTTTGCTTTAAAAATGATTGTATTATGTTGTTTTTATCTTCCGGTTAAGGTTTTTATGCCTTTAGTAAATCTGTGCGGAATATTTTTAGAATTATCAACAATTTTAAATTTGTCTAAGTGCTGGTAAGCCTTTTTTTTATGGCGGCCATTGATGTTTACATTTGAAACAGGAGACTAGTGGATTTGTTGCCAATCTAAAGAAACTTAGTTTCGCAACAACAAAGATAACGCATTCATTTATTATTGCCAATTAAATCATGCTTAATTCTTTCTGGAAATTTTTCGAGGAAATAAGTGTTTAAGATTTACTTCGTAATTTTTAATATACATTATATTTTAATATACATAATAATTGAGTTTTTATGTATTTTTGCCTTCTCGCGAAGTGAGAAATGAATGAATTAAATGAGATATACTCAATCGTCTGTGAAAAACTGTTTCTTTTTTGTTTTGTTTGCTTAGTTTTTTTTATACATCATTCTAGCTTTATTATAGTGTTTGAATAGAACATGTGGCAACGATTAGATAATTCTATTCTTTAAATGATATAAATTTTGTGCATTATGAGTTATAATATGAACGAAATATATAAGTTAACTGTTATATAATTATTGGATTATATAACAGTTAACTTAGTTTCCGTTATATAATTATTATATAAGTTAACTGTTACATAATAATTAATACTGTTAAGTGAATCTAGCGCCAGAGTGTCGCTATGGTAAACAAATACTAGAGTGAATCTTAAAGAATGCATTTATTCTATTGTGGTTTATGCGCTGTCGGCGAAGTAGATTTAATTCAATCCAATAAGTTTAAATGAAATGAAAAAAAAAAAATTCGTGTAATTTAATATTCCATACAAGGAAGTCATGTGATGTACACATCAGATTTTTTTTATGGCGGCCATTGATGTTTACATTTGAAACAGGAGACTAGTGGATTTGTTGCCAATCTAGAGAAACTTAGCTTCGCAACAATAAAGATAACGCATTCATTTATTATTGCCAATTAAATCATGCTTAATTCTTTCTGGAATTTTTTTGAGGAAATAAGTGTTTAAGATTTACTTCGTAATTTTTAATATAGAAATTTTGAGTTTTTATGTATTTTTGCCTTCTCGCGAAGTGAGAACGACATTAATTAAACGAGAAATACTCAATCGTCTGCGAAAAACTGTTCTTTTTTGTTTTGTTTGCTTAATTTCTTTTATACATCATTCTAGCTTTATTATAGTATTTGAATAGAACATGTGGCAACGATTAGATAATTCTATTCTTTAAATGATATAAATTTTGTGCATTATGAGTTATAATATGAACGAAATATATAAGTTAACTGTTATATAATTATTGGATTATATAACAGTTAACTTAGTTTCCGTTATATAATTATTACATAAGTTAACTGTTATATAATAATTAATACTGTTAAGTGGATCTAGCGCCAGAGTGTCGCTATAGTAAACAAATACTAGAGTGAATTTTAAAGAATGCATTTATTCTATTGTGGTTTATGCTCTGTCGGCGAAGTAGATTTAATTCAATCCAATAAGTTTAAATGAAATGCAAGAAAAAATGCGTATAATTTAATACTCCGTACAAGGAAGTCATGTGGTGTACACATCAGAATTTTTTAGAACCATATTAAAATTGTAGCAAGAACTATAATACAACTTTTTTTTTTTTTTTTCAAAATCAAACCCATACCAACAAAATTATTTCCGTCCAAAATGTGATTTTTTCTTGATGTCGGCTAATATCGATCTTACAAACAGATACATTAATCTTTAAATCATTATAATTAGCATTCCATATATGCTTGTTACTGTTTGATTGATTGAGTATGCCAAAGCTCACGAAAGTTATCTGTGTATGGGAAGGGATGCCTTTATGGAAGACTTTCTAAGGAAAACTGGCTTATATTTAGATTACACGTAAGGAAAATCATAAAAGTATTTAAGTAATAAGCCTGTTCTCTGAGATTCTAACTTATGTCGAATTAGTACTGTTAAATTATACATTCAGCTTACTAATGGGCGATAGAATTTTAGCAACCTACGGATTTCTGTTGTGCTACACTTCCATTTATTCCATAATTATCTGATAATTTGTTCCAACTGCAGACGCAGGCAAAATAAATAGATAAATATAATACAAATAATAAAATAAAATAAGGCCATTTGGCAGTGAATAAATCACCTGCGTATTTAACAATAGCTCCATTAAATCATTTTAAATAACATGGGCTTAAATTACTGGGAGACTAAAAAAATATATAATGTATTTTATTAAAAGTATCGAAGTTGGTATGCTTTCCATATTATTAAAATAAAAGAATTTAATATTTTTACATCATTTATTGACTTGACTGAAATTCAGAATTAATGCAAAAAGCAATCATTCAGAATTATTTTACTCAGTTCCCTTTTCTCTCTTGTGCAATATTGCAAAATCTTAAAATTAAATACTCCAACTCAATTTCTAATACTTAATTCCCTCAATCATTGTGATTTCAGATGCTTAAATGAGTTTTGCTTCTTTAGCGGCTGCATGTTCAAAGAACGGCCACGCTGAACGTCAGAGTTAGACAGAAAATGAAGGAGAAAGCTGTAAAAGGACAAACCTTCAAAGCTGTAAAGGGACAAACACTGTAAAGGGACTATTCGAAGCTGTAAAGGAACAAACCTTCAAAGGTGTAAAGGGATAAATACTGTAAAGGGACTATTCAAAGCTGTAAAGGGACAAACACTATAAAGGGACTATTCAAAGCTGTATAAAGACAAACACTGTAAAGGGACTATTCAAAGCTATAAATGGGACAAACACTGTAAAGGGACAAACCTTCAAAGCTGTAAAGGGACAAACACTATAAAGGGACTATTCAAAGCTGTGAAGGGACAAATACTATAAAGGGACTATTCAAAGCTGATGCGTTCAAAGCTGATTCAAAGCGCGTTCGTCAGCTACGTTTCGAGCGTACTATTGTGGATGGGCCTTAAAGGGACAAACACTCTAAAGGGACTATTCAAAGCTGTAAAGGGACAAAGCCTATACGACTTGAAAGTGTCACATATAACCTTCGACGTATTTTTCCGTCGCTTGTTTGGTGAGACAGGATGACTTTTTCTGATTTTACTTCTAAATCGAAAATCTTAGCTTTTCTGTTCAGTATTGGTTAATCACACAAATTTGTTGGGAAGCTGGAAAGCAATGTTTAGAAAATTTAAGGCTTATCTACTGAAATTAATTTAGCACCTTTTTTTTTTTTTTTTTTTTTTTTTTTTTTTTTTTTTTTTTTTTTGAATCGAAGGTAGCGCTCAAACGGGGTGTGCTCAGACGGTGGGCTGAAACAGGGCATCCCCTTTGGCTACGCACCTGGATTTCACATTTCAGAAAGTTACGCATATGCACTGTAATTAAAATTCAAATTATTAGTAACCTTTTACTTCGCTCCTAATAATTTACTTTTTCTTTATTACAGATATTCTAGTAGTCCCGTTGAAATATTGTGGTACTTTTATGAAAAGCAGAATTCAGCAGAATTATTAGATTTTTATTTGAACACCAATAAAAGTTCTTAATGTGACTGATATCACTTGTGTGATCTCATCAGAACAAGCCCACGAAATTCATCTTGGCAAGGAGTACAAGTTTATGCCTCTCATTGGCAAGAGTCTAGGACCCATATAGAACCAAGGACCAAAGCCTTTTGTTCTTTACAAGACAGTACGATTTTGCCTAGTTCTACCCAAATTTTGAGGAAGAGCAACCCGCGCGGTACGTCCGAGGGTCTCCTACCCCTCTTCCTGCAAGGTCCGTAGAAAGAACGTTCTTTCTACGGACCTTGCTCTTCCTCTACCTCCAAACCACTCGAGAGGACTTTCGGCTCGCCATATATTTATAGTGTGCCGCACAAATATAGTCTCGAGTTGCGTTTCCTATTAAGGAAGTAAAAATACGCCGCCCGAGTTTGAATCCTGTGCGGTATGGGGACGCTCTAAATATGCGACTAGCCGAAAGCCCTTTCGAGAGTTTGTGGTAAGGGAAGAAAGATGGGAGACCCTCTGAATGTACCCCCTGGGGTGCTCGGCGTCAAAATTGACAGTGAAACTGAGCAAAAGTCGGGCTGCCATTTATAATTATTTTTGCTAAAGGCTCATGCCAACGACACGCGCATTTGACTCCTTGGCGCGGTTAATGTCTTTGGTTTGTGTTGACCATTGTCAGGCAAGTGATTGGTAATAACAACAGTTCTTAATGTTGTCAAAAACAGCAATATATGGAGATATATACAATTCTAATTTAAGAATATAAAGATTTTAAAATGTATGATTACACAACTCTTATTTTGTTATATTTTTATTCCGAAAAAAGTGTTAAGAAATTGTAAAATTTTGAAATTTTAGTTTCTTACATTCTCTATCATACGATACATTTGTAATCACAAGTTTTATTTGGCTGTCGATGCGGCAAAATGCAAACGTGTAGATAAATTTATCAGCACGTAATAAGAGCAGAAAGAAAATCATTTTTCGCCATCTGAATTTGTTTACGTCATATTATCGATCGATTTTTTAGATTGATCTTTCTCGAAATTATACATAAAAAGGTAATAAATAGCCAATTATAGCAACCCATGAATGCAGTCTGTGACGTATAGTTGATAATTATCATCAGCTAACCACTGACGTAAACCATCCAGAACCATCAGTGTTTCCTGTTTCGCAATAATAACAAACTAATTTTTGTTGCCTTTCTACAAAAGGTAAATTGAAAGCAATACAAGAATTTTCATTTGGAAGTTTCTGTTTTGGATTTATATGAATTTGAGTTGGTTTGCAGGAATTAAGCAATTGATTTAACTGTTTGATGGACATTTAATAAAAATATTAATCATGTCAATAGTTTTACATCGAAACATTTCCATCATTGACCGGCAGAATGACTATGTAAACAAAAAGTCGCTAGTAGAATTGCCCACTGATTGCCAAACAAGCAACCCTAATATTTCTAAATAAACCATACGTGTTGAGAGTTGCTGATGCAATCATTCAGAGCCTGATCTGTCAAGAATGTAGAACGGGAAAATGTAAAATGAGCTCAGAATTCTGTTGTTTATTAAAGTACAGTATTTTATATTCATCTTACGCTTGAAGTTAAACGATGAGTTCGAGAGGCAGAGGTAAATATTACGATTAGTTATATAATTTATTTTTAGCAGGAAGTATTTCAGTTTTTGTTTTCGTTAATGTCCTTAATTTTGATAAATTTTCTGGCATATGGAAGTTATACTTTAATTTATATCAGTAAGCATATTAAATAAGAGATATTGGTAATATATTAGTGCAGAGACTTAAAAAGTGCATTTTCATTAATCAATTGATGCATTTTCATTCATCAATTTTTCACATCATTTTCATAATTAAAACTTAATAAGGGAAAAACTATTAAAAGCTATTTAAAGGAAAAACTATGAGACGTTATTTTTAATGTCAAAATTTAAGTGTAAAATGAATTGGGAAAAACTATTAAAAGCTATTTAAAGGGAAAACTGTGAGAAGTTATTTTTAATGTCAAAATTTAAGTGTAAAATGAATCTTGCATATAGGTATATGCAAGTTACCAAATTTAATCTGTGAATGTTTTTGTTCCTAATTTGGCTTCGTGCTTCTTGTTTCGCTTTTCACAAAATTTCATTTTTCATTCATTTATGTGTATAGTTTTATTGCATACTTTGACCATTTGATCCTTTTGCTTGGGATGAAGGAAACTCGTTAAGTAACTTTATTTTCACAAATTTACTTTTACATATTTAATTTTTTTTTTTTTCCTGTGTGTGTTTGTTTGTGTAATGTTCGTTAAAAAAATATTTTTTCAAATTTTAATTTTTATGTTTCTTTATTCTTTATACACCGGCATGTATTTAGAGAGAGAAAAAGCTTGCTTAAAGTGGCCAGATATGTTTAATTATCAGAATGCTGATAATAAAAAAGATCTTCTGATTTCAAATTTTAAACTTGCTAACTTTTAATTTTAAACTTTTTAGTTGTGAAAAAAATTTTTTTAATTAATACTGATTTGATTTGGAATGATACTTTTTATAACGTGATCAAAATTTAAATAAGCAAATTACCCTTTTGTTATTTACTGTTTCTAGCCAATAAAAGCTAGAGCAGTTAATTGATTGTATACTTTTTTTTTTTTTTAATGCCACTTTTTTTTCCCCCTAAGCAACTATTGTAGTTTTAGCCTTAATTATTTGTTGTATTTAGCTGAGTTTGATTTGAATGGCCCGTTGTCAAATTTTGCTTACATATGTTGTCCCAGAAGAAAAGAAAGAAAATTTGAGATAAATTAAGTTTAAAGTTTAATTTGAGCAATGCATTCCATTGCATAAAGATGACTATAAATATATTTCTACAATTCGAAATATAAAAAAACCAATTGAAATTTTTTAGATTTAAATCTTAAAATGTGTGATTGTATGCAAAAATGCCCGTCCTTTTCAAGTTTCGTATTATTCATTATATGTTTTGTAACCTAATTTATTTTTTCTATAAAGAAGATTAATTATTTTAAATATGAACTATTAGTGTGTTATATTCATGATACAAATTAATTACAGAAGTTTTTTTCTTTAACAAATCAATTAGAAAAATAATATGTCTTCCATTTCATGTCAAGTTTATGAATCTGCCTAAAAGGGGCAGTACATATTCAGTGACATAAATAATTTAGTCAAGCTAAGTTTGACTACATTGAATGTGTACTGCCCCCTTTTTAGAAAGATTTACAAACTAATTGGGGGTAAAATAATCTCAAGGTAATGGACTTGACGTGAAGTGGAAGACTGATTATTTTTATTGATTTGCTAAATTTTTATCTAAAAATTTTCATTTGATTTTTTTATACTTTAAATTGTATAAATATATTCATAGTCATTTTATGCAATGCATTGCTCAAAGTAAACTTTAAATATTAATTTATCTTAAATTCTCTTTCTTTTCTTCTGGGACAGCATATGTAAGCAAAATTTTTAATGAATAATGGTAAAATTATTTTAGTTTTTTTAATTTTTATAACTTAAACTTTGAACTGAAATAGTAAAAAGTTTTAAATTAAAAAAAAAAAAAAAAAAAATTCAGATTCATGTTTTCTATTCTAAGAAAGTTATTTTACGGGGGGGGGGGGAGTTTGAAAATTGAATTTTTTTTTAAACCTTTTCAGATATACTTATTCATTACAAAAATTAAATACTAAAAAGTTTAAAATTTAAAAAAATTCAGAGTTCATGTTTTGTAAGAAAGTTATTTTTAAGGGGGGGAGGAGAGTTTGAAAATTAATTTTTTTTACATTTTCCAGATATTACTTAATTAATGCAATGTTTGATGTAATTAATATAAAATAGTATTTATAGCATTATGTAAAAGAGAAATCATAAATTGATTGTTTTTTGGCTTTTCAGATTTGAATGGTTTTTAATACAGTGATTAACATTAATAAATGAAAAATATTATTTACTATTCAGTTATATAATTTACAGAAATTTAAAGTTTCTAAAATATATCATAATATAAATGTGAGGGAGAGGAACAAATATACTAATTATAAGTAATGTTTAAGCTGTGCTCATTGTTCAGTTTGTAACATTTCTGATAAAATTATATGGTAAAAATTTACTCTATGGTATCCCTTGGTGAATTGTTTCTTTTTTTATGCCAAGATCGGCACCAGGAAGGATTGGTGGCAATTTCAAGATGGCCACCGCACAAAATCAAAATAAGCAGTCAAATGCTTATACATACTCGGTGTCCATGTACACATCGACCTATTTTTACTTAAAAAGACATCAGAGAATTGCACAAACTAGGCATTGCGCACTGCCTTATCTTTGTAAATGTACATATCAATCTATTTTTACTTAAACAAAGTCAGGAAGCTAAAACAAAGTTTACACTATTATGGTAATCAGAAAAAATTCACTGCCGTCTTAACACAGGGAGAAGAACAAGTGGTTAATCTTTGGATTATGGTAACTTGGCGATTTTTTGGCGACTAACCCTGCTACAGCAACCTGCTAGTTTTTGTTTGGACGTCATTTTGTTTTCACATGTAAAGGCATGTTTTCACAAGTAAAGGCATGTTTTTTTTTTACTCAATATATCCAACATTTTTTTCCAACAATCTGCTAGCCGAATTACGCTTATGCTAGAACTTTTATGGAACAAAAGTGCTTAATCATGACGAAGATAAGGTGCGAAATTGGGACAAAGTGAAGAATCTCGCCCACTGCTGCTTGCCGCGTTTTTTTACGAATTGCACATACACGGTATCATCCATGTACACGTCGACCCTATTTCCACTTAAAAAAAACATCCCAGAATTGCACAAAAAATGGCATTGCGCACACTCTTGACTATATCCATGTACACTGCTAAAATCCTAGCTAGTAACATTTATCGCCTTACCAAAATGTTGCCAAACTACCTGTTACCATATTCCAAAGATTAGCCAAACAAGTAACCAAAAATACACAGAGAGGGATTAGAGTAGACTTTAAGGTCTCCCTTGTTTTATGGCGAAGATGTTTCATTTATCTCCAAGTTTCATTTATCACCAATTTGTTTCATTTATGGTAGCCTGAGTAGTTGAATGTTATGGAAACCCTATTGTGACGTAATCAGGTGCATGATTCTGAGAAATTTTGAATCATGGGATGTTTTGTAAGCGCTTTTGTGGTGTGTGTTGGTTTTATTGTTTAGGCGGTAAAATGGCTGAATGTAGTAAGATTAATTTGAAGTTTCTGTATGATTTGGTACAAAAGGGGAAACGAGTGTTAATTGACTGGTGTATAAATGAAGGTTTACTCAGTAGCCATTATAAGTGTCCTGTATGTAGGAAGGATATCCGTCTAGTCGAATGTAAAAACTGTTTAGATGGATTTGTAGGAAGAAAGGTTCAGATGTGGCGACGCCGATATACGGATTCGAGTTCAGATAATTTTAGGAAGTTTTTGGATGCTGTTAAAAATTTTGTGTGCCACAGGCTTAGACGAAGGAACTTCTAAATAGGGTAAGTGGATATTTGCTTTTTGTAGTGTTTAAATGTATAACATGTTTTTCCTTTTTTTTATGTTATTTTATTGTTTGATTTAAAATATAGTTTATTGAGATTATGTATTTTTTGTTTGCCTGTATTGTAGAATTGGGTGCTTCTTTGACTTTTTAAGTGAAAATATATCGATGTGTATATGGACAAAGTGAAGGGAGTGCACAATGCAAGTTTGTGCAATTTTTGGATTTTTTTTAATTGAAAATAGGTTGACGTGTACATGGCTAAAGTCAAGGGAGTGCGCAATGCCATTTTTGTGCAATTCGGGGATTTCTTTTTAAGTGAAATTAGGTCGATGTGTGCATGGATACTGAGTTTGTGCAATTCTTTGTCTTGTTAAAGCAAAAATTGCCGTTATGCAAGCCAAAATAAAAGAATTGCACAAACTCGGTATCCATGTACCGCCAAAAATCGTCAAGTTTCGCCAAAGGGTACCCTAAAATATACTTTTACTCAGAGAGGAATAAATAACTAGAACTACATATTTCTGAACATAAAAACATTAAACAACAAACCTTTTAACAGAAATTAACACACAGAGATGAATAAATAAATGAAATGTCAATTTTTTAACATATTTTTTTTTTAACATACATATGTTTAAGCTTCCATCCTCCAGGTAGGCAATTCAATTAAATGTTTCATTGCTTTGGCTCATCCACTGTTAATCAACATTCATCCTCTTACCCACCTCAGACATACTCAAATGATAGTATCCACAGCAAAATAATATCAAGTTCAAAATCCAATACCATACCACACACATGCAAGCAAACACAGCAACTGAAAAGAATAGTAAGAACCAAAAACCTGGGTCCATATGAAAGGGATTTCACAAGCAACCAATACCACGTGCTGATTTAAAAGAGAAAAAAAAAAAAAAAAATAAGGAGTACCATACAGTAAAGATTGGCCAATTTTACAAATCTACAACATTGCAGGTTGACTTTAAACTGGAAATATAGTATTCGTGTGAAACACAAGATGAGTACTCGCAACTTATCTGTCATTTTTTATTGCTTATATTATGTAGAAACAAAGATAAATTCTCATGTAACCTTGATGATATAT